CTGTTAAGAGCGTTTAGATGCGTTTGTGTTTGGATTTAGTGCCAACAAACAGAATAAATATTACATGTAGATATTGTCTTCCCAGATAGCGCATATTCAATTCTGCCTAAATTACAAAACATCATTTTTGCCCACTCCCAAAGGTTTAAGGTAAGGGAAAAATTGATATTTTCAAGCACTATGTACACATATGTATTTTTTTAAACAAACTTTTTTGCTGAGAACTTATTTAAATTCCAAAAACCGAATGCCAACTTGAATTAAAGGAACCAACACTGAAGTGAGTCAAAATGAAAATAAAAGAGCACAAATTTCTATGTAAAGCAAAACTCTCTGGGAATCCTACGAGACATCTGCCGGTCATATGACCGGTCATCTAAATGGGAGATCTGCAGTATTTTGGCATCATATTTTACATCAGAATTGAAGGGATTTCTGAAAAATCTGACCAGTTCTTTTGTGTAACTGTGATTTTGCATCCCTTGTCAATAAATGGCCTCGGTTGATGTTAACTTAAGGTCGTTGTTTTACTGCCTTAAAATTGAATGGAAATTTTTACAGCGTTTTTTATGTGTATTGGTTTCTATTTGAGTGCATTGAGAATCGGTCAGTCTGAAAAGGCCTCGTAGGGAAGACAATAGGTTTGTTCGTCGAAAATCCAGCGAGAATTATCACTCAAAACATCAGATAGTAAGAAAAAATGCTCCCAAATTTTCTATCATGTAGAGAAACTTGCAATTTTCTGTACGAACGCAAATTGGCAAGATTTTCTGGCAGCTAGTGTCCAAAAGAAATTTGTATAGAATTTTAAATTTAACGAACTTGTTTATTCACAAAAAATCCAACCATGTGCCACAATCATATGTTTTTCCTAATTGCAAATTCTCGCTGGCAAAATCTTTTCCGGCTCGAATTTTTTAACTTCTCTCCCAGAAATAGTACTCGTGATTTATTTAAATAAAACATGTGAAATTTAGTTGAAACATTTTAGCCGGTTTTATTTGCCAATTTAGCCGGTTCGTCCAAAAAGTTCTGGCAACACTGACCCAGATAGCAAACATTTTTAACTATAATAAAATCAACTCTTTCGGGACCAAAAGGATTTGCATAACGTTTTAGAAGCTTTATTTTGCTTTGTTGGATGATACTTTAATTTCAAAAATTACGAAGTAATTTCGAAATAAATGCATATTTGCATTATTTTGTTGAATGATTCGTCTTTACTTTTGTATGATAAAATTTCACTCTGTAGATGGCATTTTAATGCATGTTAACAGCTGTAAAGTTACAGTATCGTATAAAGTAAAGGCCATAGATAACTGACACAACACTGGTTTACAGCAAAAATGCAAACTGAATGTCACTATCTAGTTCCCATATATGTAGAATTGCATAACAATCTTAATACAAAAGGTGGCAAATGAAATCAAACAAAATTCGCCATAAATCGTCACTTAATAAGTAACTTTTCGTTTAAAGATGCCGTTTTAAAATCGATTAAATCGAAGATCGATTAATCGAGCCCTTCCGATTCGATTTTTGTCGATTTTTTAGTTCCGATTCTATCCGTGAAACGTAAAAAAAAAATGCAGAATCGATATTCGAGTTTAAAATTTTACAGATATTTGAACTTGAGGCTGGTACAAAAAAAAATGGGGTCTCACGCCTCCCACCTCTCCAACTTGAAAGAGCAAAGAGGTAAAAAACTCTATATAAAATTATGGCTAATACCACAAACAAAACTTAAAAAATTGAAATTCCAATCTTTATGGAAAATTTCATACAAATTTTAAACAAGAAAAAAACTTCGGCAGTGCAAAAAGTATATGTACTCAAGCTCCTTTGTATAATACACTTGTTACAATAGTGGTCAATTTTGAAGTAAAACATAAGTTATTTTCTCATTTGTGGTCGAAAAAAAATTAAAAATTCAAAAAAACTTAACCGTTTTCATAAATTCTGTTTACGAATCTTTATTATCTCACTTTTTTTCAAAAGTATTTATGGATTGCTAGCTACTTGATAGCTTTTGAATACATCCAGATATTGAAACCGTTATGAACAATGCATGTTTGTTTATAAAAAATACTTACAATAAAAGTTTGGTCAGGTAGCCGTGGTTTGTTTCTTTGTAAAGATTAAGTACAATACATTATTTTACAAAATATATGAATCAATCTTGTGAGATCAATTTGGTTTTTGACGATTTCTTTCTGCATCGGTCGTTTTTATTTCAATTCAAAAATCGATTTTTATTACTTTGATCTGGCATCTCTATTTTCGATAGGCCTCTGTTAGGTTTCTGAATAAATAATAATAAAAAATTCGAACTTTCGGAATTTTAATGCCGCCTAGAATGCTTCGATTCCGAAGCAAAATATACCCCTTTTTTATTTTGAAATAAAAAAATTTACGGAGTGCACAAAGCGCGCAAAGTTTTTCATGTATTTTATATGGGAAAAAAAACAACTTTTCATATAAATGGTGTAGAATTCTTCAAGATCAATATTTTTCGATCGCAAATTTGTTTTTTTTTTTAATGAAAACAGGGGTATATTTTTTTCGGCATAGAACAATCCTAGTGATCAAAAATTCCGACTTTACTGTTTTTGGACCACTCTAATGTACATATGAGTAACGCTGTTTAGAATTGGATAAGGGCAATCCGTGAACAAAAAAAACACAAATTTGTGATCCAGTGTAATTGAAGCGCGTGGCAATAGTATTGACTCGATATCGATAACCCTATTTGGTGCCGACATACATGTGCACATAATTATGTACATCATACCGACAAATTATATATCAATGGCGACTCCCAAAAATATACGTATATACATATAAAGTTATCATAAAAAAAATCTATAACACCATTAAATACTATATCGACAGCAATATCGATCTTTATATGCATCGATCATGATTTTCTAAAGTATATGTGTCTATAGTGTTCGATAAATACGCCTACAAAAATATCGATAATTGATAAGTCGATTACATATCAATCATTAACTACATATATCGAACACTTATTCGAATATTTGATTATTTATTTTACAAAATACACTTCTAATGCTAAACACTCCGTCCATTTCACGGTTTTTAACGTGTCTAGCTTATTGTGCATGCCTATAGCTCAATATTTAATTTTAAATTTACCTATATTTATATTTTATTGTCGTCTCCCCCTTTCTTTTCTTTTGCATGAACATTTATCTGTCCGCACAAATTCAATCACAATGGTTATTATTTCAAATGTCACCGCCAACATGAACCTCCACAAAATGAAAAACAAAACGGACGCGTATGCTGCTGATGACAATCCCGATGACAATACAATAACGCGCACATGAATGGAATATTTTTATTAAACGCCAAAATAAACACATCACCCACACAAACACGCATACGCTATGGCATTCATGCACAAACATAGGCAAACTGGCAGCAACACAATGGCGCACACGCTTTGGCCGCCCCTCACAAGTGCCACGCCTTGGCGATGTTGATCCCACAGGTCGATTTTGTGCCTTCCCCGAGGAATGGCTCAAACAAAGAGCGGGTAAACTGAACAGAAAAAACAGAAAACTAATCGGAACACATTCGGAAAAAACTTAACACTAACATTTGTTCTTTTATTAAAAAAAAAAAAATAATAAATTTAATATCAAGGTTTATTTTACTTAATTATGAAAAAAAAAACAAAACTACTAACTCAATTTAATTTAAAAATTAATAAATATCTATTTAACTGAATACTTTTATTCTCTTTTATGTGCTTTTCCCCTATAGCGGCTAAAGCGCCACCGCCCACCATGGCAGATTTGCGTCGAAGTGAGTACTTGTTGCTTTGAAATTTTAGAAAAATTCACAATGTTCATGGAACTTTTATGGATTTTTACAGTCTTCGTAGTGAATGCTGTGCCATTCATCGCTTTTGGCTTTCTGGACAACTTTGTGATGATAGTTGCGGTAAAAATTTTAGGGATATACATACGCTTAAAAATCACAACAATGAATCTTAAACCGAATTTTCGAAATTTCTGCGAAAAATATAGTGCTTAACATAATTATAGGACATCCACTTAATTATTGACAAGTTTAAACTATTTATTGTTTATTATTTAATTTTAATTATTCTTTTTTATAAAAATGCATATAGTTTAGTCTATACCAAAAACCATGCACACTAAGTTTTAAACTTTGCACAAACATTAAAGAAACATGACAAAGTTTCATAAAAATTGCACACTTTCTATTCAGAGTTTTTAGAAATTTTTTACGTAAACAGTTTTAGAACCCGTTCGATTCTAGTCAATAAAAAAAGTCAAAATCAATTGTAATAGAGTTGAATTGGCTTTAAAACTGCATACAAATTCTATGTAAATAAAAAGTGTTAAATTTCAATAAAACTTT